ATAAGAATAATTTAAAAAATCTTTAAGTTCCTGGAGGTATGAAATAATAAATCTGTTAATGTTTATCAATTTATTATCATATATCCAGATTGTGCATACCCTGCAAAAATAGCCATTTCTTCAACTAATATACATATGTTTCTTTATAGTATTGTAAGTTTTTAAATATAAAGCTTCATGGATGTATGCTTCTGTTTTACAGTTGTGCCTAATATGTAAATTTCATTAATATATACTGAATATATTCCATTAGTATATACTAATATATAGACACGACACACACCCCCATGCATACACACACACACCCACACATACACACACACCATTATATATTAGTATATACTGAATAGCAAAAGATTTCTGTATCAGATAGCTGGGATTCCTGTGGAGAAAGTTGTTGAAAGTGGAAGGCATGTACAGCATGGCGAAAACTGACAAGGAAATGCAAATGAAAGCATTTGTTTGCACATTGTTCAATATATTTCAATAGATTATGCAATGTACTGTAATAATATACAGAATCTGAACAGGAGGTGTTTTTTTGGTTTTTTTTCCCAGCATTCCAATGTTTTTTTCTTTATGGTTTCAAGAGGATATGAACCACTGCCTCTGCTAAACTTCCTGAAAATGGAGCCAAGCAAGTAGAAATGCATTGACATTTTAGAACTTATTCCAGGAAAATGAAGTAATTCCACTTAATATCCCTCCAAGTCAGGAAAGCACTTAAGCACAGATAAGACTTTATTTGCTATAACCTGAAAGTTAATCACACACTCAAGCTCTTGCCATTATGCTCTTGCCATAAACCTTAGCTCTGTCCCCTGGCCCTGTGCAAGGTTTAGAGGCTCCATTATGTAGCTAAAACCGGTTTGGCATCTGTCTGAGCAATAGGAGTCAAAACTAATGGAAAGTGTAAGTGTGCTTGGGGACCCCAGAGCCAATATTCAGGGCTGTGTTTGTGGCAGCTGGGGAGAGAGATGCAGCAGGGGCAGAGGGCTGACCAGCATGGTGCAGCCTGCTTGCAGCCAATAGTGGTGTGGTGAGGGAAAAAGTGATGCAGAATCACCTGCCTGGGCAGCATCAGCCTTTTTCAGCTTCATTCTGCCCCTTGCTGCAGCACAGCGTCCCCTTCCAGGCACTGAGCTCCAGGGGGCCACACTGTGAAGCTCAGCTTTTTAAGCTTTTTTAGCTTTTTCAGCTTTTTCTCCATGGTGCATGAGCAGCAGCTGCCACAGCCCCAGAAAAGGCTGGCACCAGGACCTGACACTCTTGCTGGTAGCATCTCAGAGGGTTTTTTCCTCTGGACTCATTTCAGTTGGGCTGCATGGTCTGAAAGCCCACCAGGACCTGGAACTGGGATGCTTGCTTAGTGTCATCTTGAAAGAAACAGCGCATGTGCTTGATGACTGCTCTGTGATAAGAAAAATTGCATGAGTGGCTGTAGGCAGGAGCCTGGCTTAAAAAGCATACTCCTGATAAAATGAAAACCCTAAAATAGAAGCACCTCTAGTTCCTTAAAGAAACAAAGAGAAAGAGAGACACATACACGTGCACCTTCAGAGATCTTAAGCTATATTCCCACCCTGTTTCCCTTTTGAAGTGCCTGAGGTGCAACCTCAGGCATCTAAGACAGGTACTTAAATTCTGGGATCTTAAGTGAGTCTTTGAAGTTTCCCATCATAGTGAACCAGTCAGAGGTGTGAGCTTTAAGCTCAGACTCATAACTGCATGAGACAGAACTTTTTAAAATCAGCTTTAACTTTTTTTCAGACACTAGACTTTTTCAGAGACCAAACCACCACATAAAGAAATAGAAAGTTAAATGTAGGGCTCAGTGTTTTCAATCTTAATAAAATTTCCAAAAGCTTTCTTGGAACTGCCAAGAAAGAATGAAAACTGATCTGAATTTCTAAGGGGAACAGTTGTACATTCTCAAGACCTCAAGTCTTTTTTAACATTTTAGCTGATACAAGAAACATCTTAAGGCATTGAATAAACCAAATCAAATTTAAAGTAATGGGCTGCAGTGTTGACAACTACAGGTTTAATCATGCACTTTGAGGTGTTCTGATAAGTCTCTGCATTTAAAATAAATAAATATCATTTTGTGGAATCAAGAACTAATTTAGAAAACAAGATTTTCCATTATTCTTTTCTCAAAGCATATTGATACTGTATATTATTGGTTCACATTCTTAATAATTCTAGTTTAATAGATAAAACTTCAAATGACTGGTTTAAAAAAATAGCCCTCTTACAACTAGCTCTTCTCCACTAAGTTCTTGATGTACTTAATTAACATGATCAAATGGCCAACAGCTAAATATATGCTGATTTTTATTTCAAAGGTGCCTTTGTGTTACTGGAATGCAAAGCTCTTTTGAAAATCTGTAACTTTCATTTTCAAAAATATTTAGAAAATGAAGCATATTCATTTACTAATGAAATCAAGAATAAATGTATTCAAATTTGTAACACTTCCATAATAAAATTATGCTAACACTATAACCTAGCATATGATTAATTCTGTGAAGACCAGACAATCTAAAATTCCCATCATAAAGCAAACCAAATCAAGCCAAATACATTTAGTTATACTTAAGATTACATATTTTTGGAATAATATATAACATCAATGGGCACAGTACTATAAAGAATTTTCTTTATTAAACTTACTTGAAAATATCATGACATAAAGAGAACAAATTACGTATTATGCTATGAATTGGTTTGTTTACTCTTTCTTGTTAAAATATTTGCTATCACTTGCATACAGATTTTTAGCAAAAGCTGATGGCTCATTATAATTCTGTCTTTTCATTGTCAATGGGCTGTGTTGACTTAAAAAACACTTTTGTATTCATTATACTCTATGTGTGAAATGACAGGCTGAAACGCAAAGCCTGAGTTTTGACATATGCATATGGAGTTCACTATGCTTTAAATGTAGGCATTTAAATGCAAAATGTAGCCATTTAATATGTTTGTAAATTTTATTTTGATATTTCAGGATTAGTTATAACACAGAATTTTAAATTTTGCCTCTTTGGTTCAAGACTGAATTTCTGACCAAGTTGCTGTACAAGGGCAATGTTGGATGCAGAGTCGCCTCTGAGTATTCTGTCAGATCACTGCACAAATGCCTGCTGCATTTACAAATCACCAACTGACCTGCAGTTAAGGCTATGACATCTTATATTCTCTCAACAGCACTTTTCTTCTTGAAAATAAAAGTACTGATGTAGTCCCACCAGTTTACGTCCTTAGAAAAGCAACAACAACAACAACAAAAAATTACAGGCTAATGTGTTTCTTAAATATCCTGTATTTAATGCTCAGTTGCAAAACTCTCAGTGATGAATCCAGGTGTTCTATAAAGAGAATTCTTGAAAGAGATCTTCAGAGGGGCTTTCATATTCCTTCATCTACAGAAATTTGCAATGGCATATTTTGTGCTGGTTTGGGTAAATGTTACGCTCATTCAAGCACGACTCCTAAACACCCCTCAGATTCAGTGATGCAACTGCACATCACATGAAGAGTTGAAGAGAAAATATTCAACCAGCAGCTGACCAGTTTCAGATTCTGCTATTGCCAGCAGAGGTGGTAGCACATGGCCACACTGTTGTGACAGTGCCACAGCAATGCACTGAAGTGGAGGAGATTATTTGGGAGCACTGAGAACTCTCATTAAAAGATATTAGGCTTCTCTTTTCAGCACTGTCAATGCTCTGCCAAAATTTGTGTTTCCTGTATATGCTTTCTAGACCAGGGCAGTGCCTGAGTTACCACTGTTAAACCTCTTTAACTGTTATAGCTTTAGATCCAAAATATCTGGGGTTTGTGTCCGAGCTCAAGATCCTATGGACAGCCATGGTAGCTTTATCTATCCTTCAGATGTGTCCCCTTTATTTAGGGACAATTCTTATTAAAAAGTTCATGATGGTGTCTATGAAAACATTTAATTTTGGTGCCATTTAGAGTGGCATTTAATAGCTGGATTGTCACATCACTCCAATGAATTCAGGATAGAAAATAAATGTGTAGCCTTTGAAGGTGTACTAATAGGAAATATGTGTGTACCAGAAGACCTTTGAAAGTGATAAAAGAGTTCCCCTCTCCCAAATATTTTCAGATTATTTGGAACTAGTATCAAATTAGATCAGCTATGCTACAAAACAATGTTACTCTCACACATGTAAATCCAAATATTTCTAATGCAAAGCAAAAAAACCAGACACTTGATTTGCTCCTTAATTTCATTCATCTTTTGTCCTTGCTTTGCATTTTGAATTGCTCCCATTTGGATAAGTTCTCCTCTGGCTTCACTTTTGAAGTATTGATCATCTTAACCCAAAGAAATGGATGTGATAGAATTACTCTTTCTGCTACACAAGGAAGACAGTGGCCCTATCTCATAAGTGCCTCTAACAAGTCTAAGTGGAGGGGGGAAAGAAAAGGTAGTTTTGATTTCAAAACAATAAATAGAAACCCCAAAAACTACTCCTGAAAATATATACCTTTTTTCCATCATCTTCACTCGTGTGTGTCATAGCACAAAAATATTTTAAAATTTCAATTAAACAAAGTTAATAATTTTAAAGTCCTTTATATTTAATCATTAAATGATACTCTGAAACTGGTACTTGATCCAGAATGATGCAAAGGTCTTAAAAAACAAAGAAATTATGCATTCTGTAATGCATTCTTTATAGCTTATTCAATTTATTCCTGTCTTACTATCAATATATTTATTAAATAACTTATTAAGAATTCAAAGGGTAAAATAATTTTTAAAGCATAATGAAAAATGTCTATTTGTTGAGAGTTTAAATGAAACATAAGTTCCAACTATGATGTGAAATCCAGGTTAGCCATGGAAACAATATATTAAGTGAATTGTCTGAAACAATTTCAAACTCTTGTGAACAAAGACTGTTAGATTTACAGTATTTAATTCTTAACAAAAAAAAAGGAGGAAATAAACAGATGACACACTATGTTTTGTACTTGCACTAATTTATAATTAAAATTAAATTCATATGCCATTATTTTTACTTGAAGAAGAGGGACTTATCCATGAAAGTGTTTTTTCTTTTTGTGGCTTGTTTTGTTGTGTTTTGTTTTTAATGTATCAGACCAGTATGGCTATATGTTTGCTGTTGTTCCTGTTAGATGAAGAGAACAAAATGGAAAAAGCAGCATGATTCCATGTATGAAAACAAGTGTGGATGTACAACAGTGCTTAAAGTGCTTTCTTATTTGAGGAGGTACTTACACATATGTCTTTTCATGCTTATCTCCTTTGTCGCCATGTACTGTATGCTTGGTCTCGTTTATAATATAATGATAGGGCATTATGTTCATACTCAGAGTTTAGCACATTGTCATTAAAAAACATCTGAAAAGAGGAAAATGACAATTCTATTTGTGTATTATTACAGCAATTTGAAAATTTTATTAAATACTCAAGTGCTTCATTTCGCCATTTATTCCTTTGCTTCCACTGTTGCTTAAAGCACTAAGTACAAATAGATAATACTAAAAGCATATCCATCCTATTCTGGGGTTTTGACTAGGATTATTTACTGATGTCTTGCAGAACCGAGATGAAATTATGATCCCACGTGACCATTTATCTGCTGATGCTGCAAGATGTCTTGCCTCCAGGATTGGTTTCCACATACATGGTTCACCAAAGGTCTAAATCTTATGAATATTTATACATTTTTATGTCTCCTTGTTAAGTGGCAGTGCTGTCATGGGGGATGTCAAGTAGAATACTTTAATTTGCCAGTACCAGAAGTTGTGGGAGCAGCAGAAGCTGTGGCTTGGCTGCCTACATACAAAGGGTCCAAACAAGCCACTTTGGCTGCAAAGAATGAGTGGATACAGTGAAGGACTGCAAACAGGTTAGAAAACTCCAGCTCCTGGAAGTGGGAAAAAAAAAAAAAAATAGATTAAACATGAAATGGAAAAATACCCCATAAACATATAACCAGGAATAAACCACTGTTACAACAGCAATAATTTTAATACCTTGATGTAATTCCGCTGATGTGCCTTACAATTCTCCATTATAGAGACTTAGGCATTGAAAATTGAACATTCTGTAAATAGTTGCTTGGAGGCTAAGATGGACAAATTTCTGGGTTAAGTGCCTCATACAAATATGAGATCCTACTAGCTAAAGGGGAAAGAAAGTGACACTATATAATTTTTTTTTTGCTCAGGTTAATGCACATCTGGCACTTTTGCAGGTTAATTTATATAGAAACTTTATGGCTGTGCTGTAACAGTCTGCACACCTCTGGACTACTACCATTTAACCAATGTGCCCACAAAAATTAATAATGCTGAGTTACACATATATTACATTTGTTCTTCACGTCTCCTCGCACTGTTAATCAGCTATTAAATCACACTATTAAACAGCTATTTTCTTACCTGATTCTTCAATACATATTAAAAAAGAGAGGATATGTTTTCAAAATATGCTACTATCACATAGTGATAATTTGGATTTGTTATTGGGACAAAAAATGAATATATTCCATGTTTTAAATTTATTAGGAATATTATAAAAATTCCTTATTTTTCTGCTTTTATTTACATTTATTTATAGCCTGTTCAGCAGACTAGCTGGACTTCTTTGGACCACACCAGAGAGAAAATAAATAAAAACTACATTTTTTAGCACATATAAGTTTGCTCCTTTATGTCTAATTGACCTTATCTGATCAATTTTTTTAGATTATTTTCAGTATGTGTTTTTGAAGCTGGTATTTAATCAATAAATATCTGTTGCATTTGTAAGCAATTACAGAGGCACTTCAATACCTCAGTAATTCAATACTTCAATACTTCAATATAAGTCTAGGGGAAGCAGTACAGATTTTACATTTCTGCTTTGATTCACTGCCCATACGGATTTTTTCATTGCAACATGAAGCCAATAATTGCTATCTGTGGTATATTCTACTTGTCTTTCTGTCTAGCATTGGTATTGCCAGGCTGTATAGTGCCAGAGTTTTGCTCTTTTGTTTGGAAGAATAATGAAAATGTTGTAAATTGAACAAAAATTGCTAAATCTCTCAAAGGACATCAACCTGCAATTTTCTGCCTCTTGAGATTTCCTGGAAGACACTACTTCACAGAATACATGGGGACATTCATAAAGCCCTCATGGGTGAGGGACAACAGCGTGAAAGCAGACAGCTGGATGTGCAGAGTGTCTAGCGATGTACTGAATGGGTGAAGCTTTGTTCAGGTCTCCTGCAGCCTCAGCACATGACCTTCAGACATGCTCAGAAACAAACTGATGACATCTCATGAGGTTCCTTAAACTCCCCTGATGACCAATTTTCAATAAAGAAGACAAAATTTATGCCAAGTTTCACAAACCTGCCAGCTGTGTCTCTATAAAAGACTAATCCATTTAGAGACATTCTCAGTTTTAAACCCAAAAAGGATGGAAATTTTATCACTCCATCAATGTGGATTTTTCCTCCTTTAAATTTTAAAATAAGAAAATTTATCATAAATAAGAAAACAATGGTCATTCACAGATGAGGAAACAAGGAATTATGGGAGCTATTTCAGAATAACAACTATGAGTCATTGGAATTAAGTTGCTTTTCAGTTAACTTCATTTCATTAATTTATTTTTTTACCTTTTTAGTACTATAAAAACACACCCTAAGCTTTAGATAAGGGAATAAATATTCAGTGGAACCGTGAAATTTTTTTAATATCAATTGCATGTATTATCTGTAGAAAGACTCCAATTCCCCCTATGTCTCAACGAGATAACCATATTAAAACAAATGCTACTGTTGGAAAATTGTTCAAGTCAATTTGGTAATGTTGTTACCATCATAATTACTGGACACTGAATTTTCACAGAGCATGAGTATAATTATTTCCAAGAGTTATCACAGCTTTCTGCACTAGTAACACATCAGGAGTATCCACTGCTCAATTGACCATCAAGGGAAATGGGTGAGGCAACAGAACATCCTCTGGATGTTCCCACTTGATAACTGTTATCAACAGTAATGACACAACATGGAAATTACTTTGACTGAAAAGAACAGCACTGAGAAATCAGCAAATGCTCAGTTATTATTTCCAATGAAGACATGCATTTTTAACTAGAAATTAAAGCACCTTGACGCACAGTAGGCTGACTGGTATGTGGCAAGTACAAGTGCGTCTGATTAATGGCTGCAACTCAGTTCCCAGAAGCCTGATTGATGGGAACAAGACATTATCATCAGCAACTACACTTTTCAGGCAGATCAGCCTAATCACAATAAACCTTAACAAACAGATACGACTCCATGTCCAGGGCTGCTGACAGGAAAAAACATGCCCTCAATTCTGCTGGGAACTTGCCCCTATAGGTGTCTCCAGGTTGGCACTACTGCCAGCAGACAGAGGGGAACCCACAGGCTCTTGTGCACCCCCAGCCACCCTGGTTGTTTCTGTACACACTTTGTCCTCAGCCATACTTTTGTCTGCATACACTTTCCTCTAGGCAGGGTAGTGTGTACTGCACACATGGGACAGATGAAGTTTCAAGTGAGCAAACAGAAAAATCCAAAGAAACCTGAAAAAATATGCAATTAAACCCTTGAAGTTGATACCAGTAGGGAAAGTCATGTGCTCTGAATCCTCCAAAAAGCAAAGAAATCCTAATTTAAGCCACTTCTACTTGGCTATGCACAAGCACACAATTTGCTATTATTACAATTTCCAGACTGTTGCCTGTACAGCTCAGCTAAGACCCTACTCTCTGAGGAGTATCAGTGTACCCTCTGGTCTTCAAATTGTCTTTCTAAGCTATCTTTTGATTAAACTGCTCTCACCTTACATTGCTGTCATTACACCAGATTGTTAATCTGAACATCTGCACTTCCTGCTGAGGACAACATAAGTGGGCAAAAGGGCATGTGAGAAAGATGCAGTCAGTGAAAATACCAGAAGTATATTGGAATTCTAGTAGCCTTTCATAAAGAAAGTCTTTGTGATTAAAAAGACAGAGAAAGAAAGAGAAAAAAGGGAGTTTTACCAAAATAAAAAAACAAACCTCAGCAATCTCTTATTGCATTGTATTATACATATATTATGTAGTATGATACAATTACATAAATGATACATTTACAAAATCCAGCAATTTTGTTTTGAAGTACCTTTGGTATATTTAAAAAAGTTTTCTCTTTCATCCATATATAAACAGCTGACATGAGAAGATATTTGTTCATCAAAAGTGGAGTTACATGGTCTCTCTAATTTGCATAAAATCTGATCTAAAATAGATATTAGACAAATAATCCATGTGCAAGACATGGGGAAACTAAAAACTGAACCACAGAAATCAACACAAGTCAGAAATGTGAATTCAAAAATTCAGTAACAGCAACTGAGCAATCACTCTATAAAAATCTTAAGGCTGTATACTTATAACCCATTTAAAGATGATACTCTAAATGTGAAGAGCACTGTGATGCTCACTGAAAAACCCTCAAGGCTAAGAACAAGGATTAATTTAAAATTGCATTTTGGAGAACAGACTTGAAATGAGCAGAAATGTCAGCCTGGAAAATGATGCAAGCACCCATCAAGTCACCTTGCAACAGTAGAAAGTGGGTATTTTGTTCACAGTAATGTGATCAGTAGTCATTCAGGATATTTAGATTAGATTTCTTTACAAGATAATTTCAAGTACTATTAATTTGCATTAATTAATACTAAGATAGTATTAATTAATAATGAGACTAATGTGAAATCCTTGAAGTTTAATTTCTTCCTTAGCTGATACAATATTTGTGCCTTCTTTGGTTTTCCATATTCAAATAGATGAAGACAGTTGACTGGACATTCATCTTGATAAACTTATTTTTGTATCTACTACAGTTTTGCACTGCTCAGCTTAGGAGTTCACCCAACCTGTGAACAAAAGCACGCCTGATGTAGCACAGCAATATGGCTTTGCCTTTTTCTGAGAGAACTGTTGTGCTGCAAGCTGGGGAGGTGAAAGCACAGACTGAAGTGCAGCTTTTGAGTCATCCGTGTTTACCAAGCACAGAAAGACCCTCAGTTCCCAGTTTGGTAAAAATTCAGTAATGTAAGATGCTGATTTTTATACACATCATTTACTCCTATGTTTGGAAGCATATGTTTATCTCAAAACAGTAACTCTTAATATTGAAGGTCACACCACTCTGAGTTTATTACAGTCCTTAGATTGTGTATCACCTCCAGAAGCTGCTGTGATACTATTGAGACACTAATAGATCATTAAACTATAGCTAAACAAACAGGTAAACTGATAAGAAACTAGATAGGAAGCCGTACAGATGCAGAGAAAGCTTTGCCCTCCTGTGTTTAGTTTTTTTTTTTTTTTTTTAACCCAAGTTAGTTCTTTTTTTAACCCAAACAGCTCAGTAAGAACAAATATAGGGACACATTGGCTCCACATTCTGTCAAGGTGACAGCTCTATTTTGTAGCTCTCACTCATAAAAATTTTGTCTCACTGAGCAAAATTGTGCAATATCTCCTGCTGAGTGACAGCTGGGAAATAACCTACAGATTGGAATGTCTAAGGGGTATCAGTGATTAATGCTACCCTTAAGTGGTTTTCTTGTCAGAAACCACTTAGACCTTGCCTTAGATACCTTCTCAGTTAGGTGTTTGCTTTCAGGCCCCCTGCCATAGACCCACTGCTGTGACCTATGGTAATTATTGTTCAGATTTTTAGACTTGAACTGCTTAAATCCATGAGGACACATTTCTTTTATTCTACATTATATATCTTTACAATAACATAATTTCACTTAGAGAGAAGCCAAAGAAAAAAGCATGAGTACAATGTCTCTACAGGAAAAAAAGGCAGTATTTGAAATGTTTAAACACCTAAAATTATTTCAAAGCTGAAAAGAACAATACTGGGAAATAAGTCAAACTCTAACTAAATCCATCGCACAAGCTGTATGTCTCAAGGCATGCCATTTTGAATTTTTTAAGTCAGGCATGAAACACACTACAAAAAATGTTGACAGTATCATAAAAATCTTAGCTCTTCACTGTCAGTGAAGGACTTTCTTTTACTTAAGAATATAAACTTTGGTGGCAAGTGTTTTTCCCAACAACAACAACAATAATAACAACAAAAGCTAACTGATAACCACCAGTACGTGGTGCTTGACTTTACTCCAAAATGCATTTTTCCTAGATTTTTCTAACATTAACATTGGTATCTCAGTATATTCCACCAGAATACAGAAAAGGTGCTGGACAATTATGAAGATTGTATGAAAAAATTTAAAATGTGGGTGCATACTTATTTTTTTCCCAAGAAATGTATATCTACAATTTGGATCACATTTCTAGAATAACAACAAATTTGTCTAAGTTTGGATCAAAATTCAATAGATGAGCATTTTGACACTCTTGATTCTGCAGATCATGAATAAGTGTTCTAAAGCTAAAAGGTATTATCACAGAGGTTCAATTTGCCATAATCACACACATCTGGGAAAGCATGAAATATACAAAATGTTCTGCATTATAAATGAAGGAAGATGGGAAGAATTTGGTTTTGATAACTCATATTTTTCTGTGAAGCTATTATATAGAATCATAGAATAATTTAGGTTGAATAGGATGTTTATTGAGTACAATGGTTAATCCAGCACTGCCAAGTCCACTACTAAAGCATGTCCCCAGTGCTACCTCTACATATCTAGATTGTCCCTTTGGGAGTGGTGATTCTGCCACTTCCCTGAGCAGCCTGTTCCAATTATTGATAACCCTCCTGGTGAATATATTTTTCCTAGTATCCAATCTATACCTCCCCTGGTGCAACTTGAAGCCATTTAATCTTGTCCAATTGCTTGCTGCTTATGAGAACAGGCTGACCCACCTGCCTACAGTCTCCTTTTAAGCAGTTGTAGAGAGCAATGAGATTCCTCCTGAGCCTCCTTTTCTCCAGGCTAGACAACCCCAGCTCCATCAGTTGCTCCTCATCACACTTGTGTTCCAGACCCTTCACCAGCTCTGTTGGCCTTTTCTGGCCTCACTTCACCACCTTAATGTCTTTCTCTTAGTTAGTGGCCCAAAACTGAACACAGTATTTATGGTGTCGAAAGTCACCTGCTATGCCCTGCTTCCACGTTGCTACTTGGGAATAAGTAAGTAAAGAGCCCTAATACATTGCTGCAATGGCTCCTCAATTTTTGGTTTTTATTCCCTGCAGAGTTCTCCTTTCACCACATTCTGATTATTCCCCATGTATTATAACTTAGGGAAAAAAATAATAGAATCATAAAGAAAATGCTGCAGCAGTGGGTCTCCAGGCCAGCTGCAAAACAGGGCTGCATTTAACAGGTGATGATAGCTGTGGCATGAATATTCATCACAACCTTTAACAAATGTTTTACAAAATTTCCATCCTCTGATTTCAAATGAAGTCTGCATACAGTATTCATGAAATCTGGCATTACAAATATTTCTGAAAATCTGATTAACATTTCCTAATGACTCAACAGTTCCACAAATAGCTATACTTCTGACTCAGGAATGTAAAGCAAGAAAATAGAGGCTAGACTGTTCCACCTCTCCTTACGATGAAAGTGCTTTAAATCTATGAAAGATTTAAAGGATACAGAAGGGGCTTATCCATAAAATTCTAAGGTAGCCAGAGTTGAAAATATATGACCCCAGAACCTTCACATTCATTTTACAGACACATTTATCTACATTTCTTAGATTAAGCAACATACTAAATATGTAAACAAATTGGAATAGATAGAATTGCTTATTATAAATGCCACAGCACCTTCCAAAGAGAATGTAACCTGACATCTTTGCATGTAGTTGATATGCTTTGCTCACCAAGAAAATAAATAAATAAATTCTTATTTCAAAATTGAGTTATGAGAAAGTTTAAATTTATAGTAAAGAGAAACAACCAGGGAACAAGACAGCATATTAACAAGCATGCTAGCAGGTTTCTATAATACCCTAGCTTCATAAGGTGTAACTAGCATTCCTGCCTTAATACAAGTTTGGTAGTATTTTCTAAAATTCAATTTGAGTGGAAATAATAACAGGTACAATAAAGGCACAGGCTATCTCTAAGGCTTGTGTATGTCCAACATACTCATGTATCTCCAAGTGACTTATATGACAGATATAATTTAAAACTTTAAAAAAACCCTATTTTTTCAAAATCTGTATTTTATTATTATTTTAAAAATGTAATTCAGTATTAGAAATACATTCTAATTTTACCAGTTTAAAAAAAAAAAAAGGAAACTAAAATCCCCAAAATCCTCAAACACCCCAACAGTCATTCTTGGACTCCTATGAATTTTGATTAGTGGTAAAATAATGTGTTAATATGACAGCAATAGCAGACAGATATTAGAAAAATAATGATGACTTTCATCCTTCATCTGTACATAAGAGCAGAATAAAATTTTACAATTAAGAGAAAATCATCCTCATGACATTAGGTTAAACTCTATTGTCTTATTAGAGCTGAAAAAAGTTCTGCACCACTAAAAATATTTCTGAAGGAAATCAGAAATAAGAAAATATTTATCTTCGAGATGCAGCAGAACATGAATGTATCAAAACTGTGGTCCCCACATTTTATTGCTGTTGATTTAATGGGAACTCTTACATACCTTTATTTTACTATACTTTATTTGAGTAAAACACTCAAAATCAAGTAAATAGCTGCTGGGTTGAAAATAACATGAAGCATAAAGAGACATGGAGAAAGATGCCTAAAGTAGCTACTGGCATTTAAATAGATAACTATCCCCAAAACAATGCATTTTTTTCTTGACATATTTTATAATACTCTACATATTTAGCACTTACAGACAATTTATTTAACTATTTCCTTTTTGCTCATGGAACTGTTTTGTTATCACGTTCATTCAGCAAATTTGTCTCCAACATGGTCAGGAAAAGCAGTATAGTAAATGCTTTAAAAGCAAAGCTTAGATATCAACAAGAGACAGTCTGTAGGTTTACACTAAAATTTGGATTCTAGTAAAAAAAAGAAGTTTGACTCAGACTCTAAGGCAGTTACAACCATTGCAGACCTTGGGAAGATCACTGCTCACAAACATTGAGACAGTAAATGGCCGTCATCTCAAAAGACATAAATTGTTGTAAGCTTAAATCTCTCACAGCTACTATTTTCATGAATTAACTCTTGAATCAAAAGCATGCCTGGAAATACAACTTTTCTGATTTTGCACTACATACAGACACTTCAGTCTTGGGAAATATGTATTTAATCCACACTTTTTTTTTTCCTCTGAGAAATAAAAACAGATTTGTAACCTTTGCTGAGTTTTTCTCCCTGCTTGACTTAAGGATATATTTCCCATCATTTCTTCATGATACATTTATAGGCAATAAACAGGGTATTCAAGCTCTCAGATAGCTTTATCACAATGACAAAGAGGAGAGTTGGAAAACATGCCTAAACCCATATATACCATACTTCCTGCATTTTATTATTTTTAAATCTAATTACACATTTCAAAAAACTTTTAACTGGATAAAAGTAATTTGTTCAGTTTTCTTCAATTTCATCAGTTTTCTTTGCATTTTTTGTGCGTTAATCTAATATTTCCAAGTAACTTTGTTTACTATACTTCCCTGCTCCCCTAGCTGCTTTGAAAATTGTATATTGCCTTTATACAAACAATGTATTGTTTTTACCTTTGCTTCGATTTGTTTAGTATCTTGGTTTTGGAACAAAAATTTGATTTTGCTCTTCCCATCATCTGAAGAACCTTTGAGCTGGGAAAACTTGTACCTCCAAAGCACAGCCTAAAGGGAAAAAAAAAAAAATCACACACAAATCAATGTAGCTATCATTGAAAATTGTATTAGAAATAGCTGATCTCCTTCCAAGGAAAGTTTTAACATCTCTATGGTGTGTAATTAAATAAATGTAGTGTTCTGTGGTCAGATGTTCCTTTAATCATATAGATATGTTACACTTTGGCAGTGCTTGAATAACAGCTGTCAGACTACATTTGTGAAATTTACCCTGAAATTCCTTTATCTACACTTAGCATTTAAAGAAAAAAGAAGGATTTTTTTTCCACTGATGAATCTGTGGATTTGCTACTGTATCTGGAGTGTTGATCTGACATAAAAGACCCTTCCTTCCATACTAAAAAATTCTAGTCTTAACATAAAGGGCATATCATAGTAAAAACAAATCTCTATTTTTAAAAGATAAAGTAACAAAAGAAATTTCTTTAAGGAGACCATATTTTGAGTTTATTTATGAGAGCTCAAGTGAGGAATTTGAGCAAGTAATTAACTCTAACTGTATCAGTGGCCTTTCAAGTAATTGTATTATGAATCACATTGCATCTTGTTGAAAAAGACATAATGCTTTACAAAGTAAATATACAATTAATAAAATGTACAGATTTCTAGAAAAAAATCTTTTTATAATTATATTCAGTGTGGATTTATGGAGACTAAAACAATTTTAAACTACTTTGCTTAAAAATGGAAAAGAGCTATTTTTGTTGTCTTTTCCTCCTCATTTAAAGACATCCCCCACCGTCCAGATATTTCAATTCTTAAAATGCTTTGCTGTGATTCCAGTAGCATTTCACATAATTAGGAGGTCATCATCACTTACATTGTTCTACTGCTTTGATGAACATTAATTTACAGGCATCTGACAGCACAGAAACTTAAAGCAACACTTTTTTACAAGGGTTTGTAAATTACTCCCTCTCAGTGGTGTAGGACGACACTTCCATCTGTGCTCTTAGTCTTTATCTATGAATGGTTTACTATCTACTGGGAATTAAACTGAACATGGGGGAGGTCAAATCTTTAAAATCTGTCCTAAATCTATGCAGGGCCCTTTGCTTCGGGATGTATTGGTCTCTTTATGCCTGGCAAAAATCTCTACCCTGCACCAAGCTGAATAGAGTTTGTTGTGTTTCTCTTAGCAACCTAACAAGAGAAGAAACCACAAGGACATCTTAACTGTGCTCCATACACAAAGCAAATGCTAGAATTTTTCTCCACAATTGTCTCTATATAGTTCCCCCTTCCAGATTAAAAGAAAGAGCCCCAGTCTCAGCACCACTTTCATTCTCTGTGTGTAAGTGACAGGTGAGCTCCCATCTGCCATAAACAGAGTTAAGGACATACTGTTTCACATAAACCACAGGAATTTGGCAGTTTATGTGAAAATATATCCTATTTGTTTCAAATGTCGTCCTCCTGAGCCCACCAATCTGTGCTACAGAAAATAGAACAGCTTCCCTCATTTCTGTGTGTGTGAAATTCCTTTGACTTTGTTTGATCAAAGATGTTTATTTATATTTTACAAATAGTGAGGTAAGAAAAAAACCATCTAAGCAAAACAATCCAGTACATAACATCATTCAGCTGGCTATATTCCTACCTGCTTTGTAAACTCCTTTTTATTTTACAGATCTATGAAATCTTGTCAGAAGATCAAGACCATTGCCTTTCTGCAGGGACAGCAAATCTACTTAGGTATGTCATTTCCTGGATGAGAAATGTAAAGGGTACTGATTGTCTCTTTATCTCAGGAGAAAACAATCAAAGCAATGAGCTATCATCTTTCTCTTCTCTGATGATATATGGAGAAGCCAGGACAGAGATGCAGCTTTAGCAAGGACCCTTAGATGTGCAGGCAAAATCCCAGGGTACCTGGCCTTATTCCCAGTCAGATTAAGTTTGAATGAAGATGAAGGATGTATAGAACTGAGGTACTTTGACATTTCTATACTTTGCCATGTACTTCATTCCCATTCAGAGGAAAGAGAATGACAGTCACACCAAATCCCAGGCACAACTCAGGAACACACTTCAATTTATGCATAACATTGGTTTTGGAGACTACTACTCAGCCAGGGCTCTTACTTAAGAACATTTCCAAATCAGGTTTATAGTGTGGAGAGAACTAATCTCAACAAAACTGCACTTCAACATCAAGATACTAAAACAAGCTCCTCAAATTGAGTCTCTGCAGAGACAATTAAATACTCTTCATCTAAAGTGTAAGGAGTAGAAATGCTATTGACAATGCATTAAATGATTCCCACATGAAAGAATTATCTGCTCCTTTCGAGTGATCTTCAACAAATTGCATACACTTTCCCTCAAAATTGTCCACGTGAGGGATCAGTCATTTGCAAAAATAAGAATAGGGAAATGTTGAGAGCTCTAAGTCACCAAGTCATGAATACCAAGTATTTCAAGAAATCACTCTGGCTATTTCTTTTTCTAGAGCAGCTCTGAATTAAAAATCCTACATCCTGGTTTGAAATGGCAAGAACTGGTTAGTTAGGATAGAGTCTGGATGTGTGTTTACTTCCATATACTATACCACATTATAAGTGTAACAGATAGCTTAAACCACTTAAACTAGAAGTTCAAATTCTAGATAGCAAAAGTTGAGTAAATTAGTTAATTATATGCCCAGGAAGACCCATTTAAATCCTTTCTCCTACCAGAGAGGTTGAAGTGCTGCCCTGTGCAGCCCATTTTGTATGCATAAAATGTCTAGAAGGCAGACAAAATGCTGTGACTGCAGTCACATTGCTTAAAATAAAGTATCTTGGGGATCACTGGATTAATCTCTCTGGTTTCATATGTTCTGAGTGGGGTTCTCTTCATTTTCATTGCTGCAAAATGCATAAGCAATGAACAGGGACCAGATCTATCCTTTTTCAACTACTACTTTATAGTGCCACAGTAAGAAATGAGACCAGACCCACTCACCTGAGCACCAGTTTCACACAGATGTGAAACTACAGCAGTGACATTAACACAGGAGAGAGTTTCATGTGATGTCTTTCATGATCCTATAGCTTGACTTCAGTGTTTAAGGGTTCACTGTGGTTACTCTTCTCAATTCTAATTTTAAAGGCTAATTCTCCTGCATTATGTATAGGTATCCTTGGGAATACTGCTCTACATCACTGTCACAGTCATTATTTTTTAATGTCTTTGAATATCAGAGTTCCTTGAAACCATTTGTTGAATGATTGCTTCAGAAAGTTAACATAGGCTGTTATAATTTTGTATAAATATATTTATGTATACATACTGACTTTTAACCAATAAGTACACTTGTAAAACATGCTGGCTTTTTCGAAAATTGTTGAACATCTAAATGTGTGTCACATAAAATTTTTCTAAATAATTTTTCAGGAAGTATGAACTATAAGCAGAAGTACTTACTAGTTTGCAGTGTTACTGAGCTCAGCACTCATAGGGCTACTTTTAGCTGACAAAAACAGCATGTTCTCTTCAAGGGGCTTCCTCATTAACTGTGCATAACCTGCATCACTGAGAATCCTTTACGGCTCTATATACAGCATTTATAGGAAGCAATACATTTTTGTTTGCCCTAAAATAGATTTGACAGGTGGGCCAGGTACCAATTCCTTTTAAAGCACAAATTGCAACTGAAGTAAAAAAGATTCTGTTGTAGACAGTGGCATCAGCTGCTCTTGAGGACCCTAGCACACCTTTTAAGTCATGGCACACAACATTAGGATGCCTTGATGAAAGATGAAGAGGAGAACTCACTATGCACTGTTTATTGCTTCTCAATGAATGAGAGAAAAGTGAACTCTCATTTAATGAGTAGAGATAGAATTTAGGAACAATAACAAGCAGTCCAATTCAGCAAGTGGGGACCAAGGCGTTCACTGAAAATATAACCAGTGTCACAATTTGCACAGTCCCAGTGTGGCCACAGAAAATCTGACATAATTAATCCATGTCTTGAAAAATGCACTGTAAGAAGACAATCTCTTTGAACAAATACAGTACGTATCATGCATAAAATTGGCAACAACCAATAAGATATAAATCCTTTTTCCAATTATTATTCATATATTGCTTAGGCTGCCTTTTGCATTTTACACCATTTAATAAAATTAACTTCAAAGAATACCAGAATGCAATGCAAACAAACAAACTGTGTAGACAAGCTGACAAATTAGATTTAAGACTCCTCTTGAGATGTTATTAAATTATTGTAATAACAAATCATCAAAAAGCAAAAACCTGTATTCACTGAATTAGCAGGATTTTTTTTCCTGTGACATATAAGGGACCAAGATTCTTCACCAATACTTTTTAATGAGAAATATTTTATTTATAAGTAATCATCTAGGACTCATTTGTGCTAGTCTTGCAAACAAATTACTGTCTATTATCTTCTGCTAGTGTTATTCTACTATAATTAAAAAGGATGCTCTCTGCGTGCATATTTTTATTTTATAGTTGGTACTTAAATGTAACGTACAAATTACACATGGAAGAAAAGCTATTGACTTGTCTATACCTGTAATACAGCCATACAAATGAAGAAAATTATTATTGTTTCTACTCTTAGCAATAGTGCTAGATCTAGAACACATATTCACAAAGGCACCCTAGAAAAGACTTTCACATTCATATTATATGTCACTTTGCTACTCATTCCCAGAATCTTGGAACATACAATTTTGGTAAGATAATATCAAACAAAATCTCTTTCCATCTAGGTAATGACATCAGAAATGTGGAAATACATAATAACTGTAACTATCTTTGCCTGGGCTATGACTAGAAATATTCATTAGAATTTTTGTTTCATTTTGGGTCAAGGAGTTTGTTTTAATCCTAAATAGAGATCAGATTATCAAATAAAAACAGAATAAATAGGTGACTGTATTTTTACTTACCATGCTCTAAGTAACATTCATAGAAATGTGAATCTCTGACTAGTCCATGGTTCTGGGATAGATATATAATTTAGGATACAGAAA